CTCCAGCTGGCGTCCTTGCCGGCCCCACTGTCTTGGGACTGAGAACTATCAGAGCTAGGAGGGACATTACTACCCCACTGTGAAGACAGGGAAACTGAGGTCCCAAGTTACAGAGCCAGCGGTGGCAGAGCCAGAAGCAGGACCCACAGCACCTGTGGCCTGGCCCCAGCTCCTTAGGCTTGAGCTCTGGGTATGACTGGTTCAAATCCCAGCTCCACTGCTTATTCTCTGTGCCTTGGGCAAGTTAACCTCTTTATGCCTTGAGTTTTGTTTTTATTTTTATATTTCTTTCTCCCTCCCTCCTTCCCCCTCTCCTTCCTTCCTTGCTTCTTTCCTTCCTTCCTCTTTCTTTCCTTAGTGAGCTCTACACCCAGTGTGGGTCCTGAACTCATGACCCCAAGATCAAGAGTCACATGCTCCACCGACTGAGTCAGCTAGGTGCCCAATTTTTGTTTTTATTAAATGGGGCTAACAACAGCATCCACCTCAAAGGGATATTAGGTGGATTAAATTAGATAACACATATAAAGGTTTAGGACAGGGCCTGGCATATAGTACATGATCAATGAATGTTACCTAGTACTATTTTGATTTTAATCATGTTGGGGAGGACAAACTTTTCCTCTACCTACTTAGATCCAGTGATTGAGGACCTGTGAATTAAACTGACAGATTAAAAAATTAATAGGAGAAAAGATAAAGTTTATTCATGCACTAATGCAGGAGCTCATGGAAAATGTGCTCAGAGAAGCAGCTAGAATTTGGGGCTCCTACACCCAATTTTGTCTTCCAGTTTTCTTGAGATTTAATTGACATACAATATTGTGTAAGTTTAAGTAGTACATGTTGATTTAATACAGTTATGTATTGCAAAATGATTACCATCATAGGTTAGCTAACACCTCCATCATGTCATAGAATGAGTATTTATTTTTCATGGTGATAACAGTCAAGATGTACTCTCTTGGCAACTTTCAACTATATAATGTGGTATTATTGACTATAATTACCATGCTACACATTAGATCCCCAGAACTTATTCATCTTATAACTCAAAGTTTGTACTGTTGGACTGACAACTCTCCCTCGCCCCCATCCTCCTAGCCCCTGGCAACCAACACCGTATTCTCTGTTTCTATGAGTTCTGCACATATCACATACCAGTGATACATTACAGTATTTGTCTTTCTCTGCCTGACACTCAGCATAATGCCATCAAGGTCCATCCATGTTGCAAATGGAAGATTTTCTTCTTCCTCGTGGCTGAATAATATTCCACGGCATATATGTACCATTTATCCCTCGATGGACACTTACGCTGTTTCCATGTCTTGGCTGTGCTGAATTATGTTGCAATGAACACGGGAGTACAGTCATGTCCTTGAGATCCTGTTTTCCTTTCCTTTACATATATGCCTAGAAGTGGGGTTGTTGAATCATAGGGCAGCTCTTTTTAATTTCTCGAGGAACCTCCATACTGTTTTCCATGGTGGCTACACCAGTTTGCATTTCTACCAATGGTGCACCAGGGTTCCCTTTCCTCCACAGCCTTGCCGACACTCATTATTTCTTGTCTTTTTTGATGCCAGTCATGCTAACAGGTGTGAGGTGATATCTCATTGTGGTTTTGATTTGTATTTCCCTGATGATGAGTGATGTTGAGCATCTTTTGATGTATCCGTTGGCCATCTGGATGTTTTCTTTGGAGAAATTTCTATTCGGTTCTTTTGCCCATTTTTAGTTGGATTGTTTGTTTTTTGTTTTGCTCTTTAGTTGCATGAGTTCTCTATATATTTTCCCCTTGTCAGATGTTAGATCCCGTCTCAATAAGGGAAGGGGGAAGGGAGAAATGACACTTTATGGGAAAACAAATGACTTTTAGGAAAGATACATGGGCCTCTACAATAGATGGGAGATAAGATCGTTTTGTGATATGTCTGTTTAGGTGATTTCTTATCCTGGTCACAGGTGACAGGAGTCAATCTTCTCTGGTTGCAAAACTCCTGGGGAGGGGGTTTATGACGCTGGAATTCTTAACCCACTGAGCCACCCAGGCGCCCCCTATGACGCTAGAATTCTTTTGGGAGGCTCTGATTTTAGGCAGATAAGGGGAAGTTAAGAAAAAAGCACCTCTTCCTGCATGTGCTGATTCTCAAATATCTTCAGCTCAAAATAATGCTTAAGACACACTGGCATATTTTATGCACCTCCGATCATGCAGGGGAGACAGTGGGGTAGGATGGGAGATGCAGGCTGAAGCTGGGGAGCACCTGTCAGTTTCCTAAACATCTTCCAGGCTGTCCTCCCAGGCTGGGGTTGGAACACTTGGGGCCTCTGCTTCTCATCAGAGCTCCCTCACGGCTAAGCTGGGGTCATTCCATTCCCTGCCCCTCTGACTTGGTGCAACGAGGTGGCTTCAGGCTACACTGAGGATTCTCACCCACAGGTGAAGCTGGAATGGGGGGTGGTGCCCACTGCTGGGCTGGGAATGTCAGCGAGGGCAGTTCCTCTGTCTGGGGAGGCCGAACACCTTCCCTGCCCTCCCATGGGGTCAAGGTCCCCCAGGGTGGAGAAGTGGCTGGGTTCCCTTCTGCAGAGCTGCTCAAGAAATTTGACTCTATCAAGCATATCTGACTCTCATAGTGAACCATTCTTTAATACTTCCCTCCTCTACATGATAAGGAAATGAAATGAATATATTTCATAATGAACTAGAGTTTGCATTTATCAGACAAAAATTATTACCTCTCTTACTTTGCACCATTTAACTAGTTTAAATTTTATTTTTTAATTATTTTTTTAAACGTTTATTTATTTTTGAGACAGAGAGAGACAGAACATGAGCAAGGGAGTAGGCAGAGAGAGAAGGAGACACAGAATCTGAAGCAGGCTGCAGGCTCAGCTGTCAGCACAGAGCCTGATGTGGGGCTCGAACTCCCAGAACTTGAGGTCATGACCTGAGCTGAAGTTGGATGCTCAATGGACTAAGCCACTCAGGCACCCCTAACTAGCTTAAATTTAAACAGAAATAAAACCTCCAAGCTGTCACAGAGTGGCAGAATTGAAGGCACTCAAGTTCTGTTTCTTCGTCTTTACAATCATTGGACTATCCTGGTGTATTTGGAATCCACTGTTTACACATAGGACCATGTCCTGTCCAGGACTGTCCTGGAGACAGAATGGCCCGGAATGGGCAGTGGGGACCCTACAGCTTGTCCGTGCGTGTGTAACAGGGAATTCTCTGAGTGAACGTTTATGTAGAACACAATATTCCTCAATAAGCAGTAAAGGTGCTAATCTGAAGCTTATTTTGTTTATTATAAAAATTCAATAGTAATTGTAGCAATTGTTTAGAACTTTGATCAGTAAGACTTTCAGAGAGGAGTCTTTTATCACTGACCTGGTTTAAAAGTGCCGGCACAGGGTGAAAATAAAAGGCAGACAGACTTTATTATTGTTTTTAAATTCTCTGCGTATGATGCCCCTCTTACTGCCTGCACTTGGGGTGCACAGCCCCCACCATCCTGATCTTTGAATACCTAGAGCACAAGCTGTCCCCACCTCTTGCCCACCCCTACCCCCAGGCCCAGAGGCCACCCCTACCTTGGACCCAGAGGCTGGCTGGCCACATTGTTGGGATGTCAGGCCCTAGGACTGAGACTGCCTCCTGCTTTCTCTGGCCTCCAAGGTCCCCCCACCCCCTAGGCCACCTCACCCTAAGGCCTGGCCAGACAGCCTCAGTTCACTTGAGACAAGCTCTTGGAGATAGCTCGTGTGGGGAAACTGAGGCTGTCAGGGGGAAGAGAACTCTCTTAAGGGTACAGGGGCTGAGGGGAAGAGGCTGACCCAGCTCTGAGCCTCCTTGGTGGCTGCTCAGACCCAGCGTGGTCTCCCTGGGGCAGGAGGAAGAGGAAGGGGGGCGCCTGGGTGGCGCAGTCGGTTAAGCCTCCGACTTCAGCCAGGTCACGATCTCGCGGTCCGTGAGTTCGAGCCCCGCGTCAGGCTCTGGGCTGATGGCTCAGAGCCTGGAGCCTGCTTCTGATTCTGTGTCTCCCTCTCTCTCTGTCCCTCCCCCGTTCCTGCTCTGTCTCTCTCTGTCCCCAAAATAAATAAATGTTGAAAAAAAATTTAAAAAAAAAAAAAAGGAGGAAGAGGAAGGGATGGCTGTGGGACAGGCTGGGGCACTGTAGGTAATTTACATCTCATTTGAATGGGTTCCCCCTGCCTCACACCCAGAGCAGGCCCACCTGCAAGACCCTCAGCTGAAGGAGGGTCCCTCTGGCCCCCACTACCTCCCCTGTGCAGTGTCCCAGAACCCCCTTCCCTATCAGTGCCTGTCCCTGAAGCAGGCTTACCCTTCCAGAATCTGGCTGTGAAGGAGTTCTCCCAGAGAGAGGCGAGGCTCACAGCACAGGAGGGGCAAGGTGTATTGGTCAGACCCCAGAGGCTTCACTGGAGCAGCAGGTCTGGGCCTTGAGAGGGGAGGCCCCTCACTCACCTGGGTCCAGGAGGCACTAGAGGGAGGTGAGGCCCAGCCCTGAGGAGTCTGAGGGCACTGCGGTGCTCTGGTCTATGCTGGGCAGTGGGGTTTTCCCTAGCAGTCCTGCCTTCACCTGGCTGTGAGAATGTGTGGAGTCGTGACAGGAGCTGGGATAGAAACCAGACTGGGGAGGAAGCCAAAGTCCAACTGCTGATGCCCAGAGGAGAGGCATGTCCTGAGAGCAGGATATTTGGGCAATGCCCAGGCTCCACCGCCCCAGCCCTCCAGCCTGCCAGCCCTCTCTCAGATGGGCCAGCAGAGATTTGGGGAGGAGATACCCTTCCTGGCCATCTTCCCAAAGGAGTGAGATAGAGAAAGTGAAGGGACTCCATTTTAAAAAGGCTCCATTTCGGTTGTTTCTCTCCTAAGTTTGCTCATGCTCTATATTTTGCATCTGAGTAAACCAAAGAAGCTATGTTCCCACTCCACGGGGAGACAAGAAACTTAATCATTCTCTAAGTTTCTTCCCAGGCCCCCAAACACCTGATACTATGTAAGAAGAATTGGATCCCAAACATGTTCCAGGACGGTAGCTTTGAACAAACCTTGGTCGACACTGGCATCAATCCCCCCTACCTTTGGTGATTTATGGAAAAACACCTACTGTTCACCTGACACTCGCCTTTGATCAGACCCTACCCTGGATTCCTGAAGGAATGTGTATCCTGGACCCCCTTCCAGTAGAAACCCCTAACCCCAAGTGGCGGAGAGACTCCCTCCTTTTCTGAGTCCCTCAGATACGCCCTCAGCTGTGTGCCATCACTTACGCTATTCACTTAAACTCTGCTCTCACTTCCGCCTGGTTCGCGTTTGATTTCTATCCTGTGTGAAACCAACTTTCTTGGCTCGTCCTGCAGGGCCCCCTCTGGGTCCTTGGACCTAGCCTGCCTCGGTAGGGTCGGTAGGGTCCTCTCCCATCAGGAGGGACCCCTCTGGGGGCCCTTCTGGAAGCTCTCGCAGTCCCACCTACGGGCTACTCTCTATGTACTCCTCAGTGACAGAAAACTCATTAGTTCCCCCAAAACCAAATCACTGGCCTCCAGTTCTGCTGAAAGTCTTTCTTCTTTTTGAGCTGGAATCCCTCTCCCTGGGACTTACCTCATTGGCCAGTGGACCCCAGACACTGTTATAGGGGCCGAAAACTGTCCTTCTTTCCTTCTAGGTTCTTTGGCTGGTCTAATAATTAACTGGACATAAAACAGATTAACAAGAGGGGTGCCTGGGTGGCTCAGTTGGTTCAGTAGCCAACTCTTGATTTCAGCTCAGGTCATGATCTTGCGGTTCGTGGGTTCAAGCCCTAATTCGGGCTCTGCACTGATGGCACAGAGCCTGCTTGGAATTCTCTCTGCCCCCCCCCCCCGCTTCTCCCCTGCTCTCTCTCTCTCTCTCTCAAAAATAAATCAATAAACATGAAAAAAAAAGATTGACATGAGAAAAACACATTTCATGTGTACGGGAAACCCATAAAAATAGAAGACTTCCAATGATAGGTAATTGAGGCTTATCTGCTATCCTGAGCTAAGAAGAAGGGGGTAGGGGGCCTGGGACTTCAAAGTGGAGGAAGAGAATTCACAAGAAGATGGGAAGAGCAAATGTTTGGTAAACAAATGTTTTCCATGCCACGCAGATAATTCTTTTTGTTGTAAAAAGTCATCTCTGGTAATAGCTCTCTTCTTGGTACAGGCCCCCTATCTAATTCTTTTAGGCAGTTAAGGAGGAGGTAAAAAGCCCTTCCTGAGTCTGCTGGGCCCAAAATGTCTTCAGCTTCAAATAAGCCACACACCAAAGTGGCACATTCTACGGTGGCGTATTCTGTTTCCCTTTACTGCCAAAGCTGCGGGGCCAGTGCTGTGGGGTCTACCCCACCAGTTCTGGTTTATGAGCACGTCCCTCCAGCCCCTCCAGGCCACCACCTCTCAGCCTCTTTCCAAAGTCTGTTGTGTTTTTAGCAGCTCATACTCTCTGGGGCACAATGAACTCCGCATCACTGGAGGGACACAAGCCAACACTAGGCACAAGCCTGCCAACCAGAGGTCTCGTAAGTGTCAGGTGGAAGCTTGGGTCCAGATCCTCCTGGGAGTTTCCCAGCCCTAAGGGAGCACGGAGGAGAAATATGGGAGGCAGGGAGCTTGAGATCACTTCACACCCTGGTTGGCGAGGCTCAGAATCATCAGCCATTTTTTCTTTGTTTTTACCTTTCCCAAACAAAGTGAGGAAACACCTCCTGAAAACAATACCCTGCAGGCCAGCTGCCAGGGTGGTGTTTGTCTAGTGAGCTCAGGCCTCCCAGACACGCAGAGAATGCAGAAGGCCCACCCTGGAATAATCCAGGAGCACCTCAATACGCGCGCGCACTGGCTCAGCACCTCCCCAGATAGGGAAGGAGCCTACCCTTCTCTTGGTTCGCCCGCCCACTCCGTTTCAACCACACAGACATACAGACCACTGCCACCCAATCACTAGAAGAAGCCAGTGAAGAAGGGCACACGCTCCTTCAACTAGACTCAAGAGAACACTTTCTGTGGAGCACCTGGGTGGCTCAGTTGGTTGAACATCCGACTCCTGATTTCGGCTCAGGTCATGATCCCAGGGTGCTGGGACCAAGCCCTGTGTCGGGGTCCACACTGAGAGTGGAGCCTATTTAATCTCTCTCTCCCTCCCTCTGCCCCTCTCTCTCACTCGCCCGCTCTCTCTCTCTAAAAGAAAACAAACACAAAAAAAAAGAGAAATAAAGAAAGAAAACATTCCCTGAGACCATAAATAGCAACTCAGGCACAGAATGGGTTTCAGGCTCTAGATGCACTTTGTTTTTGTTTTTAGTTTTTAGATTTTATTTTATTCCATTTAATTTTAATTTAATTTTTTATTTATTTCGAGACAGAGAGAGAGAACACAAATGGGGAAGGGAAGAGACAGGGGAGAACAGAGGATCCAAAGTGGGCCCTGCACTGACAGCAGAGAGCCCGATGTGAAGCTCAAACTCATGAACCATGACATCATAACCTGAGCTGAAGTCTGACACTCAACTGACTGAACTGCCCAGGCACCCCTAGCTTTTACTTGAGAGAGAGAGAGAGAGAGAGAGAGAGAGAGAGAAAGGAGAGGGGCAGAGAGAATCTTAAGCAGCCTCTATGCTCAGCGTGGAGCCCAACACAGGGCTCAATCCTGTGACCCTGGGATCATGACCTCAGCCGAAATCAAGAGTTGGACACTCAACCGAATGAGCCACCCAGGAAAGTAGGAGGGACACCCAAGGGATCAGGCGCGATAAAGCTACCTGCAGAGTGAAGAACGGGCAGGACCAAGAGGGGGGAAGGTCGCCCCAGTGCAGGTACTGAGGCCTAGGCATGCAAATGGGGGACACCCCCCAACCTCCATGCCCACAGGCACATAGGCAGGGTCCTTTACTGCCTTGTTTCTCCTGGTCCACAGTAGCCCCTTTCACAGCTAATTCTTATCAGAGATCTGGGATCTAAATCATCCCTGCATCCGCCTGGCCTTTCCTGGAGTCCTTCAGATCCCTCTGGGGTCAAATTCAACTCAGACGTCTGGGTTTCACATCAGCACTTGGTCCCAATCACAGTCTGGCCAGCCTGGTTCCTTCTGTGGGCAGGTCACTCTGACATTCCTTCCACATGGTTTTCAGTTCCTGGGGTGTGGGGGCTCCCCTCCCATCCTTGTTTCTCCTTCTTTTTTTTTTTTAAATGTTCATTTATTTTCGAGACAGAGAGAGACAGAGCATGAACGGGGGAGGAGCAGAGAGAGAGAAGGAGACACAGAATCCGAAGCAGGCTCCAGGCTCTGAGCTGTCAGCACAGAGCCCGACGCAGGGCTCGAACTCATGGACCATGAGATCGTGACCTGAGCCGAAGTCAGACGCTTAACCAACTGAGCCACCCAGGGGCCCCTCATCCTTGTTTCTCATATAGAGGCCTACACACTTCAAACCTTCTTCCTACATCTTTTAGCTGCCCCTCTAAGAGGATTCAGGGGCCAGGGAAGGGGGTGCCTAGGCCAGCTCAAGGACAGACTCTGGACCTAACAGCTTTTAGGGCATATTTGATGAAATTTGATTTCAGACTCCAGAGGCCAGAACACCTCCAACAGCGGCTGGGGTAAGGCAAGCGAGGAAGCTAGGGTGCAAAATTTGAGGAAGCACTCACCCTCAGGGTCTTGCAAGTGCAGACTGGCACCTAAGGAGTGAGTGCCCCCTCTTTTTTTTTTTTTTTTTTTTTCACCGTAGGCACCTTGCTGGCTTTACTCTGGTCCCAGCCTGGACTCCAGGGAGGATTGAGGAACCTTGTCCTCCTGAGGCAGACAGGCACGGAGGAGAGTTCCTTGAGGCCAGAACTCAGAGTTCCTGGCTGGCTTTAAACAGAGAGAGAAGCGGAGTGCCTGGGTGGCTCAGTTGGTTAAGTGTCTGACTTCGGCTCAGGTCATGATCTCATGGATCATGGGCTCAAAGCCCACGTCAGGCTCTGGGCTGACAGCTCAGAGCCTGGAGCCTGCTTTGGATTCTGTGTCTCCCTTTTTCACTCTGCCCCTCCCCTGCTCGTGCTCTCCCTCTCTCTCAAAAATAAATAAGTAAACATTAACTTTTTTTTTTTTTAAAGAGAGGGATGCCACCAGGCAAACAGAGGCAAAATGCTATGCAAATCAGTCTCTTGGAGGTTTGCATGGGGTGGGGACTGGGATGCCAAGAGGCAGCGCACCACTAAGCAGACTGCAGGAAGGGGACGTGGGTGGGTGCTACACTCACTGCACGAAGGAAGACTGATGCTCGGATGTGAAGGGGAGCTACGGAGACAGGTGTCTGTGGGGAGGAGGAGAGACGGGCAAGCAGATAAAGGGATACAGAAACTTCACAGCAGGCTCATTCTGCTTATTGCACTGGCCACTCCAAACGCCCCACCCGGCTCTCCTTCTTCCTCTTCCATGAAGCCCACAGAAGTTCTCTTCTGAAAGGACCTCCTGCTCTGGGCTCACACCGCCAGAGACTTAGCCTGCAGGATACTGGGGGGCAGGGTTGGGAGAAGGCAGAAAGGGGTGAACTACGTCCTCCTCTTCCTTTCCCTGGCCGGAAGTGCCAGCTAGGGTCCCCCCCACCTCCCCCTCAGCCTCACTTCCCAGAGGAAGTCTTTCTTGACTTAGCCTCCCCTTCCCTCCTCATTGTATGCACAGGGAAGAGGAGCCTAACTGGATGTGGCCTGGGAGCTCTAGAGAGGTTTTGCTGAGCGCTCTTAGGTTTCCTGCCTCCCCTCTCAGACCATGTCACGCCAATCAGATGTGATGTGCGGGACGTCCTCTCATCCCTCGGTATCCCTCTCGGATCATCCCTGGGAGAGCAGGCCTTTCTCTCCTGTCAGTGGATTCCCCCTTAGGCTGAACCCCTCCTTTTGCCTGTCGGAACCCACAGAATGCCTTGTGGATTTACCTCCCTCCTACTTGCATCCTCGTCAACCACAGCCTCCCTCACCCTCCTTCTCAGGACACAGCTGAGGAAAGAAGAGGACAGGAGTTTAGAGAGTGGCCGGGAGGCTCTGAAGCTGCCAGTCACCTATGGCCAGGAGCCCAGGGAGCCTGCCCCAGCCTTGGGGCGTGTGGGGTGGGGCGGAGGGGGCAGTAGCACCTCAGGGGCCGCGGGCACAGACATATGTGAAACACTGGCTCTGAGTTCATTACTCGCAGAACAAACAAACAAACAAACAAACATCCTAATTACCAAGAAAGCACAGAATTACCGCCCTCCGAGTTGACTTTATATAGAGTACGGAAAGCATGCTGCTCAGCAATTGG